CACTTATTCTTCCAAACAAAGTTTTATTAAAACAATGGAAAATACGCCTTAACTCTAACTTAAATTTTTGTTACCTTTCAGAAGATTATGAACATTCTTTTTAACTTGCCACTTTTTTGATGAATTTTGGGGAAAAAAGTATAGGTTATCTGAAAAGGTTAGGATTGGTAGACATATATTTACTTTAAAGAATTAAATCTGGGGTAATATAAAGTTGACGATAAACATCATTATGAAATAAACTTTTTACTTACAGTTGTTTTGCTTACTATACACAAAATACACTATTTGTCGGAATATAGGACAAAGTATATCAATTTGTATACTGTTTTAGTCAGAATTTAAAAATGGAATATTATTACAAAAAAAAGTATATCAATATTGAAGGAAACAGGATACTGTGGATTCATTTATTTTCGTGGGTACCAATTTTCGTATTGAGGAACACTTGCATTTTCGTGGATATTTGATTGCGTGGTTTTGCCAATGTCTTAATTCAAGCCTATATAGAATTTGTAATTTGTTGAACATTTAAATTCGTTGTTCATCGATACCTACGAAACCCACGAACATTGGTATCCAACGAATAATAATGAATCCACAGTACTAGAAAAGATATATTCTTATATTTGAACTGCATAAGTATTTTACCATTGTCAATATTGTTATAATATATGTACTATACAGAGCTCTGTGTACTTCACTTGTTTGATAGATGATTATTTACATTTTACAATTTCAATGAGTTTCGAAAGTACCTCTTTATTTGTCCCACATATTTATATACTTTAATCAAAGATTATACTGAAGAAATACAAATCATGTTTACTGTTTGATACCTAAATCTTACGTATACATACCTTCTGTGGCTAATACATTTATGTTTGGCATAGAAAAACCCGTTATTCCTTTTTACTCTCAACATCTATCAGATAGTTTAAAGTATTATATTAAAAGCTACTGGTGATATAAAAATCCTATTTAGAGTCGTAATTGTAAGATAATAAAGAAATAATGTATTGATGTTAAATAATATATATACTAACAAAATTATAAATATATATCTGTAGATACCTTAAGGTACTAATATACAGGAATCTTCACTGAAATAGCTGTACCAGTGAAGAAATCTGTTAACAGCATTTGCATTATTGTTGTTGAATGAAAAATAAACTAGACAAAGTGATGCTCCCGCACTCCACTCTGAAGTAACTGTATTATAACAAAGTCAATGTAGGACTTTCTTTGAGATATTACTGTGTCTGGAAGACACAAATGATGCTCCCGCAAATGCAAAGTGTTATTTTAAAATACACAAGGTTGAGCATGAGAGCCCACAGGTCTATGGTTCACTGTAGGAGAAGTTATCCGGAAACGCTATGCACCTCTTATACTCCAAAAATTATAAAATTCACATATCTCTCAAAAGCAAATATTAATAAAAATCAAAACCCTTACAACATGCACATCTTCACTATATGTAAAAACAGCCAGAAAAGGAAAACTTCCTAGCATTCAAACTGAAGGAGGAGTTTTCCGGAAACTCTATGCTCCTCTTATGCAAGTAAATACTAAAAAAATGACAAAGTTCAACTATCTCGCAAAAAAGCAAATATAAAAAAAAATCAAATCCCTGACCACAGGCACACCTTCAATATATGTATAAACAGCCAGCAAAGTGAAAACTTCCTAGCAATCATACTGTAGGAGAAGTTATCCGGAAACGCCATGCACCTCTTATGCAAGTATATGCTAAAAAAATGACAAAGGTCAACTTTCCCCCAGAAAAGCAAATATCAATAAAAATCAAAACCCTAACCATATGCACACATTCAATATATGTACAAACAGCCAGCAAAATGAAAACTTCCTAGCATTCAAACTGTAGGAGGAGTTATCTGGAGTTATCTGGAATAGCTTTATACTTGGACATAATTGGACGGACGGAAGGACGGATACACGGACGGACGGACGGGGTAAAACAATATGCCCCCAAATTTCAGTTGCGGGGGCATACAAAAGAAATATTGTATCAACTGGGTGATACATACTCCATATGAAGGCGCTGTTGGAATGCTGCTACATAGAAGTGACAAGTTCACAATTGGGAAGCTGAAATCATTTCTTTTTCGTAAAGTTTTGTTCTAAACCGATACTCATTGTCAATATATAGATGTAAGTCAAGATCGATATGTGGCAGACTTAACTGTATATGTGTAATCTTTTACTTCAAGTTCGATAGGATAGATCCGTTCAACAAGGTAAGCAACCATTGAAAGGTATCATGCCGACTTAAAAATTGGAAAGTAATTCACCATTTGCAGAACAATATTTAACGTTTTGAAAAAGCTTATCAGCTTTTCAAGATCTTAGTAAAAATGCCCCTAGATGAAGGGCAAGAATTGTCTATAAATCAAAAATTCAATTAAACTGTTTAACACTTGAAACCCCACTTTCTGTTTTTCCCATGTCACAGTCATATGAAATTCTTATATAATATATACATCAAAAAAAATTAATGATCCCTTTACGGACTCAATATTAGCATTTGAATTGTGTTTATAGTTTTGTTTTGGAAATCTATTAAAAAGACAACATTTTCGTTTCTCCATGTCACTTTGTTTTTTATTCAAGCATTTGATTTTTTTTCAGGAAATACCAGCTGCAAGTGTTGTACATTTCTTAATGTCAACGCCATTTCCGCTAGGAGACTTAAGCTATGTTTACATATGGCATGACAACTCCGGTGAAGGCGAGTCTTCATCATGGTATTTAACCCGTGTTGATGTCGAAGACTTACAAACGAGGGAAAGGTAGTGTGATTATTAAAATCAAAGTTTATATTACTTAACTGCATTAATAAAAGTTGGGACAATCGATATTATTGTTTCTCTCATGTTTAAGGTAGGAATTTTATGGCTTTAAAAGGCACATGAAGGAAAATTTTGGACAATTTAGATTGAAATAAACAATTAATTTCCCCATAGGCGACAATGATAGCCTTTTTCGAGATACAGACTTTAGAAAGTTGATTTTTTAAACGAAACCTTGCTAGAATTAAAGAAAAGTTATTAGGACAGTATTTTTTGGTCCAAAAAATATAGGTTCGCGTTGCTTTTCTTAGCGTAATTTGTACTTATCTCCCATGCCTATCAATTTTGCACTTAAAAATACGTGTCTCATCCTAGCGTTTAAAAGACATCTCAGTTCCGTTAGGGCTAAGGAAAATAATTTATTTGGCCTTTGGTATAATGCAGAATGCACGAAGTCTCTAATAACAAAAAATAACGGGCGCACATATCAACCAATCAGGATTAGCTATACTCTTAATTCTGAATACCATGTTATGCTCATAAAATGGCTGCGCCCATAAAATCTAATGGTGTATTGTAACCTATACGGTATTTAATACTTTCTAGAATCATGCAATTCATAGTTCGTTAGATGCACAAATATATATGCCACACAAAAATCATCTTCAAGACGTTCTGGCATTACTCTCTGAATTTTCACAATTTTTTATCAGAGGTGACCCCAGTCAAAAAATGTGAAAAAAAATTTTCTGATTTTTTGAGTAAATGCGGTACTGCTAAAAAGGGCCTGAAGATAATGTCCACTTTCTCCAATGATTCTTTATATGTCATCAAGTACTGATTATATTGATACCAAAACCGATCCAATATGTAACTACTACGGTGAATTTTGAACAACAGTTTTAAATGAAACCATTTTCGTATAAAAGTACATTTTTGAAACAGACTATAGCATTTCCAAATATGAAAAATGTGTAAATATTTGTGTTTATACATCGAAAACTATTCTTTAACTACAAAATGTCATGCCTATTCTAATTTTTATAGTCTGCCATTCGAGTGAACATTTCATTGTTCAATGGGGGTCATTTCTGTACATATTCACTGAATTTGGTAATTTCGATAACAGCACTTGGATCGAGATTGTCATGTTTAAAAATCGATTTGTATATCCAAACTCTAGACGTGTACGTGCTTTTTTCAAACAAATCAGCAGAAGTTCAGAAAATGACATATTCTCTCCACAGTAAGTCAAAAGTCGAACCCACCCTTGTTTCTAAGGTAAAACGCAATACAAATATGAAACAGACTATAGCTTAAAAACTAGTTAATCAATCATTCATTTGTCACCAAAAAATACGGTTTCACATCAAATATCAAGTAAAATTACTGTTTTTGACACTTTTTGAGCACTATGATAAAGAAATGTCGACGCTGTATAGATTGAAATGAACAATTAATTACCCCATAGGCGACAATGATAGCCTTTTTCGAGATACAGACTTTAGAAAGTTGATTTTTTTAAACGAAACCTTACTAGAATTAAAGAAAAGTTATTAGGACAGTATTTTTTGGTCCAAAAAATATAGGTTCGCGTTGCTTTTCTTAGCGTAATTTGTACTTATCTCCCATGCCTATCAATTTTGCACTTAAAAATACGTGTCTCATCCTAGCGTTTAAAAGACATCTCAGTTCCGTTAGGGCTAAGGAAAATAATTTATTTGGCCTGTGGTATAATGCAGAATGCACGAAGTCTCTAATAACAAAAAATAACGGGCGCACATATCAACCAATCAGGATTAGCTATACTCTTAATTCTGAATACCATGTTATGCTCATAAAATGGCTGCGCCCATAAAATCTAATGGTGTATTGTAACCTATAGTTTCTTTATATGATATTTTCTTAAAATAATGCTTGTTGTCTAACGATCACTCGAAAATCTATTTACTAACCTCCTAGATTAACAAATATGAATTACTTGATACATTTGTTTGTAAAAAATATGAATCAGAAAGATTAGTATTCATTTTTATCGTTTATATGATTTATTGTAAGATAAATTATCTCGCTGATTTAATGAACTCTTATGGTTATTTTTCATTCAAATTAGTAAATAACTAAGTATTTTGTATGAATTCCATTTAACTTCGATATATACATTTCAGGTTTGTTTTTCTATGTGGTCAATGGCTATGCTTAGATACAGTTGATAGCAGTGTAGATGCCGTCCTACCAGTTTGCGGAAAAGAAAATGTTACCACTTTCTCAAATATGTTTTACCTTAATATAAAAGAAAACTTAGCTGATAACCATATGTGGGTTTCAATATTCTTCCGACCGACTAGCAGCCATTATACAAGATGCCAGAGACTTACATGTTTCCTGTTATTTATTTTTTTAACAATGATAGGAAATGCAATATATTTCCGCGACGAAGACGAGTTTTCAAATGCTGGATCAGATATTCGTGTTGGTCCATTTTCATTCTCATTGAGTGCAATTTACATTGCATTAATATCTGCACTAATTTCAACACCTGCCACCGTATTTGTAATTTTGATGTTCAGTAAAAGTAAACACAGGAAAAACAATACTAAAGATTCTTCACGAAGATATAGAGTACCGGTATTGGATTTTTGGTTGGATAGATTAATGGCAGATAGTCATAAGTTAGAGAAAGCTCTTGTTTCAAAGGAACTTTTCAAGATTGAAAGTACTATTTTTCCATATTGGTTTCAATATATAGCATGGATTTTGGCACTTACAGGTATAGCAGCATGTTCCGTCTTCTTGACTCTTTACAGCGTCGAATGGGGGGAAAAGAAGTCTGTGAAATGGCTTGGACAGTTTTTCCTGTCTTTCTTTAGCTCGATTTGTCTACTGGATCCATTGAAAGTAAGTAACAATTAGTTTCACAAATTTTAAAATGTATTTTTATTGTTGTAACCAATCTGTTAGATGGATTATCAGTGAAAAGTAGACGGATTTGGTTTTTCAGTTTAGTCCAACTTGTGTTTTCTTCTCCTCAACTTTTAATATTTTTGATTTTATATGTTTTATCAAAGGAACGTGGTAATGGTTTTTCCATATATTTTTCGAACATTTTCAAATATTTCGGCCTCCAGCTTCACTGAGCGAACATTAATTATCAAAATGCGCATGTGGTGTACCATTGCTTTTATTACATTTGTACCGTTGATTTTATTACAACCAATTGCTCAATACCTCTAGATCTGCTTGTGGACTGTTAGTCCCCGAAAGTAGCACAAGCCCAGTAGCCAGTACCTTTGTACTGGAATGAAAATATGGATATTATTTGATTGAAATTTGCTATTTCTCTCTCATATTTCAACATCTGACTACTTGTCCGTATTTGATTATATTTTAGGTCTTTTGGTTTGGTCTTCTCTTCAACCTTTGTATAAGCTTTTAGATTTTCAAACATTTTGGCCTCAAGCATACCTGACAAGACATTTAATGTTGAAATCCGCATCTGATGCAGTAAAATTGGTACTGTTTATGTTATTATGACTCGTATTGTTTCAATTATTACATGTACTTTATTGAGAATTACTGGTTACTAGTAAATAGTTGATAACTTGTGTTTTTTTAATAGGTCACAGTTATGTCTGCAATATTTGCAATGTTAGTAAAGCAAACCAACAAGTTCAGACCTACAGGAATTGAAAGGTCATTCATTCTCAAGAACTACAAGCACACTTTTGGACACGAAAAAAGTAAGTGATCAATGCATGTGAGACGTTATTGTATTACTTGTCGGCAATATAAACAGTTAAAATGCAAAATTGTTGTCATTACCACTGCCTGAGACTGGTACGCTAATAGGATTCTAAAATCGAGGATAAATTTGAAAAGAACCCGTTAGATAGTCTCGGCTTACAACTATTCAAAACGTTATATATTTGGGTCGATTCAGAAGTAGGCATAATGTCTCGACATGTACCTTTTGTTCTAGACCATTAATTGTTATATTTGTTATTAGTGAAAATCGTTCTCGTCTTTGTCTAGCCTCAGACAAAACAATCTCTGTAGAATAAATGCATGACGTAAAAATACACGTCTGTCTAAAATGACTTGCCTTATATAAACCTCTTTTCACTCTGGCTAAAAATATTGATGAGCCTTATCCAGTCATTAGGAACAATAACGGATTGATAAGTATCTATTATGTAACACTAGGACATCACTAAATACAAAAACTATTCGTTTATGTAAAATCCTTTACTCTAAGTTTTGCCGAATGTCAAAAATAAAAGCAAGGTATCTCATGAAAAAATAGACAACACTTTTACCGGTAGATAATTAGAGAAATCAAAGATACATATGTGATAGGAAACATTAGCCAATTTTGAAGACATATACAGATGCAGCTGGACTGTTTGGCTAGAATAGTCATTCTTGACATTGAGCACGGATCTCAATAGAAAGACAACCGAATTATACATTTTCCGGCTTTGTATATTTCACTTTATGGTACATGCACGGCTATGATACAGACTTTTACGTTTTTTATCAGGGAGATTTTTAAGGATATGATGATCAATTAATCTAAACAATTTCCCACTTTCTCCATTTAACCGCCATGGAAAACATATCCTATTTTCCAAAAAATTGGAACGCAATAGTGTGACGTTGTCTTAGATATTTGGTACTTAATATATTTCACAAAATGGATTTCTTGATAGCTATGCATACATGTTTGAATCCAAGTTCAAAGATATAAAATATAACAAACACTAATTGTCAAACTTATTCACTTCGGTAAATTCAGTACTGTTCAGAAACAGTCAATAAAAATATACACAGTCTATGTTCAGACTGTTCAGTAGTTGTAAATTACATGTACAAAACAACAACATTATGAATTGTCTAAACAGCTACTCAACAGTACTTAATTGACTGCAAGTCATATTGCTGAACGGTACTGAATTTCAAACGACAAAATATCTGAAATTTAACTGAAACTCTTAACAAGCCTTTTTGCGTTTTATTTTCAGATTTATCAGATATTTTTTAAAGTTTAAGTTTAAGACTACTTAAGACTAAAATATGTTTACTAGTGAAAAAAGATTTATCTAAAAGTTAACATTGTTTTGTAGACATACGACTGCCTGCATCACCACTTAACCATTCGTTAATAGAAAAAGCTCGGAACGAAAGGCAGAAAGAAATTAAAATGATGGAAAGTATCAAACAAGTCCTCATTACGTGTTTCTGTTTATGGATTATATATAGCATAAGCTACAGTTATAAAGATGACAGATCTTATAATTTTCATCAAAACATAGCCACCAAGCTACTGACTCCTCAAAATAAAACTCTACATCAATTTGGCAAGGTAAGGTAATGCTCAACGGTCTCATTACAAGAAAACTCCTGAAACGTTTATGGAGCAAGGTAAAATATTTAAACAAGTCACAAATGCCTTGTTCAAGAACTCACCAATATGAAATATGACATATTCAAACTAGATATGCGTGTATTGGTCCCTTGACATATTTGCAAGTTTCAAATGATTTGGTGGATGCTTGCCAAAGTTATCCTCCGAAAGTCCTAAATTTGTCAATTTTCGACTTTAATTGGCAGAACTCTGGAAAATATTTTTCAAACAAAATATTGCGTACAAAGTACTTCATTTTATATTTCATCCGATATATATTTGATAAAATAATTAACATTAATTGAATTAGATATTTAAAAAACACTCCAAATTAGACATTTTTAAAATCAAAGAATGTGTCTCTTTTCATGTTATATCTAACAAACCAACTCTGATATATCTTAATTCATTTGAATTACTGTTTTGCGCTGCAAGTAAACTAGACTAAAGGTCCCGATTTCTTTCTTTTTTAAGTAATTATAAGAAAATAAGTAATGTGATTTTTCTATCAAGTATCAATGCGATAAAGCTCATTTTTTAATTCAAAAACAGGAGCCAGGACATATATTTTTAAATGGATTTAAAACAGACATAAATTTTGGCATGTTATTTCTAAAAATAAACCCAAGCCTAAAAGCGTAACGTTCTTTTACATCATATAACAAGGATTTATGAAAACGTGACGATTTCCCGTCAACTTCCCATTGACTACAGAGACTTGCCCGATGTCCTATTGTTTGAAGTTTACATATTTTAATTGATACGTAACGCGCATGCGTGTTCTTATCATACTGGCTTTTTTTTAACAATGGTGTGCTCCTGACGGAAAAAATCTCGAGTAGGGTTATGAGAAAGAACGACTGGAATCATGTTTTACGGTCACCATCACGAACTGGTCTGTTGTGTCTGTGTGTCAACTCACAAGACCACTGTCATTGCGGTATGAGATCTTTATATGCAGGAATTGCGTCTGATCTGTCAATTTGCTAACTGTTTCCTACTTCCTATCATGAAATCAAACTTAATGTAGATTTGCATGGCGCATGATGTAAGGACTCGTCCAGTCTATCTCGGTTCCTTCAGGTTCTGTTTGTTTTTAACTATATTTGTACATTCCAAATGGATTTACGAGATTTGAACATCAATAAACTACTGTTGCCTCCAAATTAGCACTGACGTAATTTCTTAATAAGTATAGTTATATTGCGAACAATAATATCAACCGGTAATGTAATTATTAAGTTTATAAGAAGTTAGAGACAGATTTAAGGTGGGACGATATTGACTGAAGTGTGAGCAAAAAATACAGATTGTTCTTTTTTAAAATTATGTCGTGTCTTAAGGATGTTCGCCCCTCTGATTCAAAATAACAAGCTTTTTAAAAGACTGTAATAAGTTGATAGTATAAGTAAAGGAACTTAAAACGCAAAAAAAAAAAAAATAGTGGTCAAAGTCCTTGTTTTTTGAGATATAATCAATTAAAATTTGGCGGGAAATGGTTCTCTCTAGATCTTTTATATATTTAACATTGGTATGTTTTTTCTTTCAAAAACTATATAAAAAAGATAACAAGAACTTTATAAGATTTTCAAAAATTTCTTTTTAAACTATATGTAATATGGAAAGAAAAGTAGGGGTTAGCTGGTAGGGGTTGGCACTACATGGATAAAGCTGAATATTTGCCAAAAAGTCAAATACAAGATAGCGAACATCCCTAATGGTATAGTTTCTATATAACGCTTGTCATTAATATTCGTGAATAACAGTATGAACAGTTAATTGCTGTAGCCACGATGTAAATATGATTCTGCCATTTTGTGTGATATAATTTAATTACGGGCATCCTTTAAACAAGTGCATAAATAAAGAAACACATGAATTAATATTACTTTTTTAGATAACGCACGTCACGGATTATATAAAATGGCTGCGTTATACAGCGTTTCCAGAGCTGTATCCTGAAACTGATTATACAGGGGAACGTTTACATTGGAGACTCAGACAATATTTCAATGATTTGACCAGTTTAAGAGTTGGACCACCTCGACTGAGACAGCTTCGGGTCACAGAATGTAAGGGCAGTCATTTTATCTTATTTTATTACCTTCATATGAAATGCAAATTACATTGGGACTTAGTGGGGTTACATCCATCAATTATAGTAACAAAATAGAAAAAAAAAAACATACTACATGTGTTTTAACACTTTGCTTGAAACAAACACTTTTCCCCAAAATTTTTTACAGATTGTTATTTTCTTTTTATTTGCAGCATCTGAAGTCCTTCCATTTTTTGGTAACATTCGAACGAGACCGAAATACTACTTACCAGTGGAAGAAAACAGAGATTTTTGTTTTGGTTGGGTTAGTGGTATATGTGACAAAGAAAGAGAGGCACGTTCATTTTCGTATGCTGGCTGGAAATTCACGAGTGCCGTTGATATATGGGGTATTTCCATTCCAGGACGTTATAGCACATACGGAGGTGGCGGATATATTGCCGAACTAGCTGTAAACTTTGATTTTTCAAACAGAACTTTAAACGAATTAACGAACTATTTATGGATTGATAGAAATACACGAGCCGTTTATCTAGAGTTCAACTTATACGCACCGGATCTCAACCTATTCGCATACAGCATGTTTTTAACAGAATTTCCTGAGACAGGAGGAATAGTTACCTCATATTCTATTTATCCATTTCGAATTTATTTTCATCTTGGTACGAATGGTATCTACACATTAATTTGCGAAATAACATTTCTATTAATTTTAGTCGCTTTAACGGGCAATGTCGTGTCAGGTATTACGAAGAAGAGAAAAACATTTTTCAACATTATTGACTGTTCTTGCATATTCCTGAGTTTTGTGTGCATTTCAATGTATGCTGGGCGTCATATTCTTGCATCACAAACCATGGAAAAATTCAAGGCAGATCCGAAGCAATTTATAAATTTTCAGCATATTGCAATATGGGACTTGTTGTTTAATTTGCTGCATGCTACTCTATTATCACTTTCGACATTGAGATTAGTCGGTATTCTAGGCTACGATATACGAGTTGGTAAGATTTTCTTGGTTTTAGATAAGTGTGCAAAGGATTTATTTTGGTTTGGTATTTTCATTCTTTATGTATTTCTTTGTTATGCCGCTCTCGGACATTTGCTGTTCGGAAAATATATTGAATCATATCGTGATGTATTTGAATCTATGGGAACATTATTCATTAGCATGATAGGAAAGAGCAAGTTCACAGAAATAAATGAGAAGGATCCAATTTTAGCACAATTTTATTTCTTTACGTTCATCCTGCTGATAGTATTTACATTGCTGACAATATTTATGGCCATCCTTGGTGAGAGTATCAGTGCAGTACATTCCATAACTAAACGAAGCATGGCGGAAGAATTGATTGAAAGTTTGTGGAATAAATTCAAGAATCTGTTCGTTAGAAAGCCGGAACCTACGAAAAATTCCAGAAAGCAACGTAAGTTTTTTTTTTTTTTTCAATGAAAAATTAATTTCTTGTCTCTCAAGGAATGCAATAACAAATTTTAAAAGTATATGATATTGATGAAAGCAATAACAGAGTGTCTGTCACATGTGGTTAAGTAGATTGTGATGATATTTTAAAAGTAAATGGGATATGCCATTTAAATATCTATGAAATTTTTCATTGTTGTTTAATAATAAGTAATTTGGGGACTTTAACGATTTAGCTGACATAACGTCAGTATGTTTTCCTATACTTCAGTAGCTTATATTTACTATAAACAACAACTTCGGATTATTTGATTTAGTTATGTTGTATATCTATATATATATGATCCTACTTCGACTCTTCAAAATTCAAGAATCTATCCTAAATTGAGGTAAATTATATGGCCTCCCAAATACCGTTTCGATTCCTAACATCACTGAAGAGACATTAATTGTCGAAATCCAGATATGGTGTACAAATTTTTGCACCTCATGTTTGCGGTATACCATCTTTTCCGCAAGTTTATTGTTTTCTGTTTGGTATTAAATTAATAAGAAAGATCCATTTTGTTACATCTTGTGATCCGTTTATTTGACAATCGCCAATGGCAGTCAGCAAGGTTTAAGAACATCCGTTGTTCGACATGTTAGTCAAATGCGTTTTGTTTAAATATACTTTTTCACTTTTTTGGTCTTTTGGAAAATGTTGTTTGTGCTGTATTTAAACCCCTCTACCAAGAAATTTGTGTTGCATGCACACGTATAAAAATTGCGGTTTTTATCCAACGCAATCATAGGTTTGAACGTTGTTTTCAATTTAGACTTATATATATATATATATATATATATATATATATATATATATATGATATATGTTTAAACTGGGTTTTACTGTGCGTATTGCTGTGTGTTTCTTTATTCTACATTGGCTAGAGGTATAGGGGGAGGGTTGAGATCTCACAAAACATGTTTAACCCCGCCGCATTTTTGCGCCTGTCCCAAGTCAGGAGCCTCTGGCCTTTGTTAGTCTTGTATGTTTTTTTAATTTTAGTTCATTTGTATGTTTTGGAGTTTAGTATGACGTCCATTTTCACTGAACTAGTACACATTTTTATTTAGGGGCCAGCTGAGGCCCAACTCCGTGTGCGGGATTTTCTCGCTGTGTTGCAGACCCATTGGTGGCCTTCGGCTGTTATCTGCTCTTTGGTCGGGTTGTTGTCTCTTTGACATATTCCCCATTTCCATTCTCAATTTTATTACACAATCCCAATTTATGTCGCATAAAGCAATTATGTCCGGTAGGCTGTTCTCATAACTTTGTCAAAAAAATACAACTGTCCTACCAGCGAAAGGTTTAGCTAGCTAGAAAACCCACCATTTTTTTAGGAAAACTCCTGTACCTAGTCTGGAAAATGATTTTTTTCCCTGTCGTTCCGTTGGTTGTTATTGTTGACCGTTTGGTTTTGTCAATTTTTATTGACTTCTTGTTTTGAATTTACCTTGGGGTTCTTGAATCGTGTCATTCACATTAATTTTGACAAAAACATGGGAATTACTTTACTTTTCGTTTTAAAAATATGAAAATATGGTATAATACAAATGAACAACTTTCCATCATAGACCACGTGACGTAAAAGTTATCGACTATAGATCACCGTACAGGCTTCATGTTCATTATATTTCCGACTATCTGGATCGTCATTTTATACTCTAGAACAGAGCTAAAACGATTTGGGACGTTATTAACAATGATTTTCAATGTAACGTTTTGGACATGTAATTCATGGAGATCACGGTCGACTTTCTAAGTTTGATCATCAACGTACCGTTTTTGTCTGCGACATTCATTCTAGAAGTGATGAATAATGATGCCTTGTTTCATCCAGAACTCCAAAATGGAAATAACACTAAATAAATTCAGTGCGTTCGACGCACTTTTATGGATTTTTTTTTAAACCCCAAAACATGAAAGCTATTGATATTCAAGATGTCTTACAGATAGGGAACGAAATATTTTCGTACATATGTGGAGGGTGGTTTGTATGCGGAGCGTCATATTCTTGAATCACAAACCATGGAAAAATTCAATGAAGATCCGAAGAAATTTATTAATTTCAGCATAATGCAATATGGGACTAATTGTTTAATTTTTTGCATGCTACTCTGTTATCTCGACCATTAGTTCTTTAAAAAAGAGGTGAATAATGATGACAATTTGGTCAAGATGCGCAATTCATTGTCAGGTAGGCGGTAACGGTGGCCTTTTCCTTAATTCCTCTGCCAATATCGTAAACTTGTATATGTATGACGGCTCGTTTCAAGGCTGAGACATTTTCACATGTATGTGGTAAAATTTTCGTAGTAAGAAGTAGAATTCGTTTTTCCGTAATTTATCACACCCGAAAAGCCTTTTGTGATGTGGCTTCTCGAGGTAAAAAATCCTTTTTCACACAATAAGTTCTTTGGAAATTTAGTTCTCTGCATACATTTCATAACTGCATAGTTTTTACACCTTTATTCTATGGTACCCTGCTCTCCAAATCAGCACGAATGGTTATGCTCAGTCACTTGCTAAAAATTGTAATATGTCCAATATCACTGCACTACTTTTGTGTACCGATATTGACCCAAATCATCGCTGAGCGTCAATGATTTTATAATGATAGAGCGGTAACGATTTGTAACGGATAGATGGACGCACACATTCGCGCTCCAACAGACAAATGTATGTCTTGGTTGATAAAGTCGAGCGTTTGATTTTGTCAGGTTTTATGGACTTCCCTTTTTTCATTTATCTTGGAGTTTGGTATACAATAGGCCTCCCACCGATTAATAGGACAATCGAAATCCATATCATGGAAAAAACCCAAACAATACAAAAGCCAAAAAATAAAGAAAAACGACGAAAAGAAAAACAATTACACAAACAAAGACAACTAAAGACTAAGAATTCGAATCCCATAAAAACCGGGGTGAAAAAAATAAAAATACTGAACTGAATGGCAAATTCAAAAAGAAGGAAGTTCATAAAAACTGACAAAACCAAACGCTATCAATCAACAGAGCAAGTGAAAAACAACTGCCATATTCCTGACTTGGTACAGGCATTTTATCCAAATAAAATGATGGGTTAAACCTGGTTTTAAAGCTACCTATACCTTTCACTTGTATGACAGTTGTTTTAGTTCCGTTATATTGACTAAATTTGGAGAGCAAGACAAACAGACGTTATAAGTTAATGTGACAATAATTGGGATACAGAAGCCAAAACTGTGTAAACATACTTCACAGACATACAACACAATTGACTAAAAAATTCCAAACAAACATACCAATTAATCTTAAAAAGTTGCCAACTAAAAAGGTGTAGTAGATGGTAAATTCGACAATGACGAATGACGTAAAAAACAGTTTGTAGTTGATAGTATATACCGTATATAGTATACACTTTCTCGATATAGTAAAAAATAAGTAAATATAAATACAAGGCTATACAAAAAAGAAACAATCCTGTAAAACCCCTTTGTGCCCGAAGCCTACTCAGGACCCTCCAGCATAAGCACTAGGAATGCCCAGAGTTACAGAGTAAAAAA